CCCCCCCCCACCCTTTTCACTTAAAAGATCCTGGCTCTGTCGCTGTTACTGACAAGCTCCTTTTGTCGGGGTTGAATGTCAGTGAGTGATAGTCCGCTGTCGGGAAGCGAGGTGCATATTCTTTAAGCTAGAGAGGATAATTGTATCTTTCTAAACGCTCAGGGGATTAAGGAGCAACTGTATCTCTTATTATTTGATTTCTTCCTTCCACTGAAAATATCAGGGCATCACAAATCAGCCCTTTTCATAATCTGGGTTCATAATCCATAGCTACCTTGCACGCACGAAATTATACATGCCATTTTCCCATGCGTCAGTTCAGTAATGGGTCACAGATGACGTCAAGATGTGGTGTGACCAACCCACTAATATTCTTACTACCTCAATAATTAACGATATAATACAAATTCTGGATCAATATCAGTATCTAGGCAACTGCCCACCTACCCCTCCCCTAACCCAACATTAACCTTAAGTTGTTGTCAATTGACTGTTGTTGAGTTAGGGGAGGGGTAGGTGGGCAGTTGCCCAGATACTGATATTGATCCCAAATTCTTACACACGACGCGATATTCAAAATCTGAATACTTTTTGGGCTACCAGACTCTGTCAACCTTTATGGTTATCCCACACAGTCAGAACTCTAATTTTTAGGCAAGAATATTACAAATAAAGATTGCTGATGTTGTTTTTGTTGCTATTGTTTTGCCTCCGCCAAACAGCAATAGCAAACAAATTTCATAAAATATTTTTGCCAAGACACTATACGTATCTCGTGTCCTCAAGTGTGTTCGGGAATACACTTCCATCTTTAGCATCTTGCTACAAATGTGAAAAAGTTTGACTCTCCACAGCGGATAAGAAATTCCCGGTTATTAGATCAGAATGTGTATTAAGAACGCAAGTTTGACAAAAGGAAAAACGTTCTCAATCATCATGGAAGCTGCGGAAAACAGTGGTACAGGAGACAAGTGACTTTCCCTTTCAAACGCCGCGGTAATTGTAGGTTCTGGCATCATCGTGTTACACTTTTCTTCTGAACAGCAAACAATATTACAACTCAGCAACTTGTAACTGGTAAATTTCATCATCATTTCTAACTTCTCGCAAGCCTTTTTTGAGTCTACGGGACAAAAAGGACAAATAAATACAATATAGGGTCACGTACGCACGGAAAGATCAATGTGCTCGACTTCGCATCGAGAGGTGTGGGTTCTAGCCTCTCCTAGGTTACCTTGGATACTGTCATCTTGTTACCCTCAAAGCATCTTTACAGGAGGGGGCATGATTAAGGTGCAGAGAATTTTCAGGGAAACCAAATATAAACTAAAATCCCGTCCATGAGCGGGAGCAATTAGCTGATAAGCTCTGGCTGCTGTGTGAATCAGTCTCATCCGCAGATTTGACCTTTCCATATATTTTCCATAATTCTCCGCGATACATCGGTGCAAATCATCATAGGTTTCAGTCCTCAGAAGGTACAGAAAGTAAACAACAGTGACAAAAGGCCGTGATATTTGGTAGTATGTGCGATTGAAAGGAAAATGAGGTTTCCTATTGAGGTGCAACAAAACCCTAGCTAACCACGCCCTAATTGCCAATGGTGACTCTAGCCAATACGGTATGTTAAATTATCATCGATATAGTTCTTGATATGCTGATTTGTTAATGAAAAAAATTATGATGACAGTAATAGCAATGATAATAATAACGATGATGACAACGATAATGATAATTATAATTATCGTAATAATAATGATAATTGTGATAATAATTAACAACGGGGAAATTATCACATACTGATGGCTCCTGAAAAAATTCTTCAGTGAAGCAAATGAAAAAGTCTGATATCGTTGTCCATCGTAAGATTAGGTTGAAAATAACGATACTTCCTGAGTAAACTTTTCCTTGGAAATCCCCGCTCCTCTCAGGGAGTGATGTGGGCTCATTTCTTAATATGATTTACCTGAGCAGTCGATACAGCCCCTCGCCACCACATCCATAACTGCTGTGCCATTGTCATATTGTCCATTAGCAGAGTAACAGTGAGTATTCCCCAACAAAGACGTCGTACACTGTGTTCTGGTTTGACTCTTTTCGCACTTATTCCAGTTGCTTTCGACGCAGTTGAAACATTTGTTAACTGCTACTAAAAGAGAAACAAAAAATAATTAAATCAACCACGGAATTGTGGAATTTTACATGTGTGGACCTCCTTTTTGAGAGTTTATCGGCATTGGCTGTATTTTGACAATTGCACCAATTAAAGAATGGTTTGATGAAGCAAGTACAAAGATAAGAATAGAAATGGTAACGTTTTTAATTGTTATTCAGTTGAATGATCGACAATTTAGCCCCCGTAGATTATCGGCAGCATGTAACTTCTCGTTACCTTAACAATGCAGAAAATAGATGTTGAGAATAGACAAAAGATAGCATCATCTTCAAAAATCTTGATATAGCACCTAATTATGTTAACTCTCTGAAACCAAAGAGCTCGTATAGTGGAGAATTAACGATCAGATCTTGAGAGTCTGAGGTAGTGCCTAGTCCTGTTTGTATTGCCCTGAAAATTAATTTCGAATTTGACTTCAAAGTATAACCTACACAATTGAAAACTGTTTTAAAATTATCTTGGGGTTCGACGATAAAAGCCGCCATTTCGAAAAACAACTAACATGACATGGCCGCATGCTTTAAATTTTGTTACGTCACAGGTAAGAGGCCGGGCTTCTATGCATGATTCAAAATGGCGGCTTCCGTAAGTTATTTTTTTGGAATTTTTTCCATTTTTTAGAAAATTTTCGATAGATTCAGTTACTCTTTGGAATAAAAAAAACTTAGTCAGTGTCCTTATAGCATACGTACTTTCGAGAGAGGAATATGAAATTTTCATGGCCTTCGGAGCAAACTTCTCCCTAACTATACAATGGCCACCATGCATTCAAGTTTTTATGATTGATTAAACCAATTTGAGGAAGCCATATCTGCTAAGTAAAAGACATTGTTGGTTTTATGACAATAAATAGGCCTCGTATGGTCCTTGATGACGAGATGACTTCGACACGTACAAACGAAACATTCGTTCAAAATTCGTTCAGTTTAGGGATCATCAAAGAGTTTTTTAAAAAATACTCCATTCACAACAAAGCTTAAACATGTTTTAGACATGTCAGAGCTTTTTTTAAAAAAACACGGTTGAAAACTTTTGTCTTTTTAGAGGCTGTTTAAAATAATGTTTACAACTTCCAATTTAGCTCTTTGAAAATGCAAGTTTGAGATTACTTAAAGTCTCTGGAAAATCAATACAATTTTTCAGCCGGGTTGTTGTTGTTGATTTTTGGATAGTTTAATCTGGTTTATCTAAACATGTTTTGTTAGTGTGAATGGGGTATAAGAAACTCTCCGAGATTTTTTTTTCCATTTTAATCTATTTTAAATTTTTTTCAGAGACATACAGAAAAGAGAATTTGATTAAGTGCATCCCAACCAATATCAAGGCATTTTTTGGTTTACTTTGACAGGATTTGATTACGTGGTAATTAATTGCGCGCGAGAGGAGAAGGTTAAATGTACACTCGGCACTCACTTGTGAAAATTCAACTAGGTCATCTGATCCAGATCTTTTTCAGGATAATAGGTGAAGTAGGAAATTTGTCCGAACCATGAAAGATGGACTTATCAAAAAAGATTCTAACTGTGAACTGAAACAAATGCTAGACAGAACTTGAATGAGGAAAACGGTAGAAATGTGCGATGAGGGGTCGCGATATGTTATACCACATGGATGACGGACCCCGACAAGTTAAATAAATGAGATGCCTCTTGAAGTATGTGGTTGATTTGTTATCATGCAGCAGATGGAATTTTTTCGAGTCTTCAGAGAAGATAATTTGAATATCATATGACGTGCCGAAAAGGTTTAGTGAGTATAGGATCGCATCAAAGCATATTTTTAGTTTCCTCTTAGATAAATTCCTTCGCAACACCGGCGTACAGATCTTGATACATTAAGAGAGGTTATGGTTTTTGCGGAGTTTAATTGGATCATGGATTTAGACCAAAAGGTCGCCGGTTCTCTCCCATTATCTTTTCCTTTTTCCTTCTTAAGTGTAAGTCGATTTTACCCTCGCTCTTCAACAAAATGTTTTTAAAACTATCATTTGCAGCTGTCATAATTCAAACGTGTGTCACGCATGTAATTTCGTCAATTTGCCACAGACAGAATGCTTAGTGAAAAACTCGCCGAAAAAAAGCCGGGAAGTGATATTTATTTTTCATTCCATATTATTTAACCTCAGCCTCGCGCAAGACACCGGAAGTATGAAAATTATAAGCCGCTAATAAACATTAGTCTAGGTATTGTAAAAATATTTGAACTCTTGCCTGACGAATTCAATGCTGATTTGCCGAAAATGTAATTACAGTAAAGCGCTTTTCGCTAATACAAAATAAATAAGAATCTTGGCGGCAACTATGAACGAAAATTTTTCGGCGACTTACTAATTATCAGAAAAAAGCATATATGTTGAGAAATTAAAACAAGAAATGCTGAAATGTAAAGAGCCATATCAAGTAAAAGGTAGACAAAAGAGACACAGTTGCCACTTAAATGTCAGGCATAACCTCACAGACGTCGGCTTTCTCTGAAATATCAGTGGCAGAAACAAAGGTAAAATATTCTTTTGTCAAAAAGCTTTTAGCGATCAGCATGACGCATCAGTTAACTGAAATGTGCGCACTGAAGGTTAAATGAGGTCTATGCGCTAATTGAAAAGATAAACGTTTTCTTTTTCACAGATAATCGCAAATGTTATTCAACAGGGAATATTGTCTTCTCTCACGCTTACAAAGTGCAAATCTAATTACAGAGAAAAATAAGAACTATTTTACGCCCCATTTAATACCTTACTATGCTGGGGTTTTGAACACATTCTAGGAAAAGCTGGTGAGAAGATTGACACGGAGATGTGAACCTTAGAAAATTATCGTGTTGAAAATGGGTGAAGGCCTTAATGGCTTCCACGACATAAATAAGAGTTCGCAGACCGCAATCTACAATAAAGGGATTTCCTTCAAGTCAACTTTTGTTTATAGAATCACTTTCCGCGTTGGTATCGCTTACCTGACAAAACAGAAGCATTGATCAGAAGAAGGGAAGCGATAAGGAATACTGATTTCATTGTATAAATCGTGTTTAGAGGCGCTCCGCGAAGGTTGTGGATCATCTGTATCGTTGCTTCATCACTGCTGCGAGCTAGCGTGACTCAAAAGGCTGTGGCCAGGCATTTGCTGACCGCCGGATTTTTTAGTTTTATCCGATTTGAGATAAGAACAGTGTCAACAGCGACAGGATTATCGACCAATCGTCGGCAAAATGGCCACGCTTGCTAGTGCATGGGAACTAGAAGCTGTTGGTTTTGATCAAGCGTCTTCATAGATCAGAGCCAAGACTCTAATTAGACAGTGACTGTCAGTGATATTCGATATGAAGAAAAATACATTGTCAGATGCAGCTTGAGAGGGAAATAGTTTGTTAGAAAAGAGCACAAAAAAATAAAAAAGCACGCTGAAAAACTTCATCCTTTCATTTATTTTTCTCGCTTCATCTTTAGTCGTCATCTTTCACCTTAATCGTAAAAAAATACTCCTGTTACAACTGATTATTTCATACGATACCCATCCCCTCAGTTCATGACGCCCTTATAATGATGGACATTACGACTTATTACTTTGACTAAAACCTCTTTCTAAGGCCTCTCTTTCTCTTCGCATAGGGTAAAATATAGACAGGACCATTGGACTATATTTTGGACTATTTTTTGGACCTTTTTTTGGACCTTTTTTTGGACCATTTTTTGGACCATTTTTGGAACCATTTCATCGGGGGGAGGCAGACCATTAGAACTTGGGGAGGGGTGGGATGCAGTCTATCAGAACTCAGGGAAGGCTGATAGGCAGACTGTTGTTAACGAGGGAGGGGTCGAGGACGAACTATCAGTACCCAAGGAGGGATGCAGGATCGGAGGTTGATGTATTAGTAACGGCTACTGATTAGTGGAGTTTTTACTGGATCATACAAATTATTTTGAGCAGTTTTTCGACCGACTATTTGTATGTCAAAATTTTTGCGTTGGGTCGTAGTGTTTCTTTAATTTTTTGTACAGCTCGGTTTTTTCCTTTTTCTGCATAATTCTTTGATTTGGTCTGCAGTTAGCAGACCTTAATTAACTTTGACTGTTGCAGAAATTGGAAAGAGATTTCATGTTTTTTCAAGTCATTTCGAAACATAGAAGTCGCTTTGTTATTGTCTCTGAGGGGCTTACTGTAATTTATGACACCAAACGGAATGAAAAAATGTAATTTGTGAGATTAACTCAAATCGGCAATTTGCGAAAAGGAAATTTGTAATTAGTGAATTAGAAATCCGTAATTTTCGAGGAAGGTAATTCTGTATTTTGCACTTGTGTGGATTTAATGAATCAATGCATTGGCTATGTGGAAGGAAAATTGCGCCAAATGTTAAGCCCTAAAATGCAAACTTGTTATTTAAAAAAATGATTCAGCACTGAAGCTGTGCTGTTTCAATCGTCAATTCACGAAGTGAAATGCGCGACATCACATTCAACTTTAGGCGCGAGTTGACTGTATCTAAGAGTGGAAAACTGTGTATCTGAGAAGAAAAACGATTGCTTTGTACGATTGTACCGACAATGTTTTTATAGTGAAGGTGTAAACGTGAAAACTGCGATAACGCCTGTGAATACTATGCTAAAGACCGGAAATTTCATGATCTTTGTCGTCTGAAAAGATCATTGACCAAAGGAAGGTAGATAAATTTAATGATCTACTGTATACACATAGAGAAACGTGAGGCAACTGTTGGATGATTCATGCTTACCCGTGAGTATCATTTAGCACTGGCACGAGTCGACATAACAGGCACACGCATGACAAAAAATAAAGAAACGTTACGGCCCAACGCAAACATTTTGACATAAAATAGTCAGTCGAAAAACCACCAAAATAATTTGTATGATTCAATGAACACTCCATTAATCAGTAGCTGTTATCAATACATCAATCTCTCACCCCTCCTTGTGTACTATTAGTTCGTCCTCCACCCCTCCCTCAGTTACAACAATCTGTCTACCAGCCCTCCCTGAGTACTGATAGACTACATCCCACCCCTCCTTAAGTACTTATGGTCTGCCTTCCCCCGAAAAAATGGTCAAAAAAAAAAAATGGTCCCAAAAATGGTCCAAAAAAAAATCGTTCAAAAATTGGTCCAAAAAATAGTCCAAAGGTTCAATGTTCCAGTCCATAATTTACCCTATGTTCCTTTTCTTCCACGAGAGACCCTGGGGGCGAGGTCCAAAGTTCCGAAAGTCTCCGAAAGTTAGAACACAACTTCCATTCCCAGAATCATTTTTTATTAATATGCTTAGTCATTTCTTTCCCAGTGACATTCACAGGAGGGACCTTAAGCAAACCTCAACAGCGACAGCGACGTGGAAGGGAAAAAACTTACTAAAAATCACTAAAATCACTAAAATTTGCGTGGTCTGAGAACGGGAACCCCGACGGCAATTATTTGCGTATCAATTTCGAACTCAACGTTGCCCGCAATCTCTGTGCTCACGTTGAGGTGTGGCACCGTAAGAGATGCTAAACATGTCAAATCATTTGCAAAATTCTGACTAAAATACTTCTGATAAATATTTCTGATAAATTCGTTTTTTTATCGACGTCTTCCGCGGCGTTTTCATCCTGACTGCTTTAGGTTCCCGATGTCGTTTCCTGAATCACGAAACAATGACCATTTGCCCGTAATTATCTGTCATAACTCATCGTTACTTTTCTCATAAAACTTGATACATTATAGAGTAACATTTAGCTCGCAGTTCATCCACGTTCAGATGATAATCTATCAACTCGCATTTAAGGAGTTTCCATTTCTGGCTTGTCTCCATCTCACTCATTTTTTCAAGATAACCGCACTTTTCGGGGCCGGTTTCTTCGTAAATATCTCTTCGAAGAGTAAATCCAATAATACCACCTAAAACAACAAAGAATAATAATCATGAATGTAAGACCGATCTTTAGCCACCTGGTAAATGGAAGGAGTAACCCCAAAGCGGGCCTTTCATGTCCTGATTCCTAGAAGCAGCCTTTACCCCAAAAGCCAACTAAACCCTTTTGCCCCTAAGTGTGACTAACATCTAATTTCTCTTTTACAATATCACACTTGAATCACACAATAACTTAAGGTCACGAGAAAAACTAAATAGTCACCAACTTAAGAAGCTCTTGAATTCATTGACCAGCTCCCAGTTGGCTTGTTAGCTCAATTGGTAGAGCGCTGCACCGGTATCGCAGAGGTCATGGGTTCAAATCCCGTACGGGCCTGAATTTTTTCAGGTCCTATTTACAACTACTCGTTTCAGTAGTGTTCTTAGCTGCGAGGATCTCCTAATTTCATGTTTCCACCGCAGTGCAAATATGTGAAATTTTCATATATCTAAAATCTTCAAGCTCTTGATTGTTAAACAAATACTCCTTGTCAGCACCTTAGGAAATGTTTTAAGGACAATATGGAGAATATGTAAAACCTCCAAAAGAGATCACTTATAAATTTAATAAATACACTTTTTCAAATGACCATAAAACCTAATTGGTCTCTAGAGTATACTTTCAGACTGGATTTGTGGTAATCATTAAACCATTTCTCCCTTGAGATAACACACAAAGTGACTTTAGCTAAGAAGTTATACTAATTACTAAAACTAATCTCATACTAATCATACTTATACTAATTACATACTAATCTTTTTTGTTAGTACATAATAGAACAGTGGATGGCCTTGAATGCGCGCTCCGACTGAATAATCAAATTCTGAATATCCTTTGCTATTTACCTCTTAGAAACTCGCACGGAATTTGCGCCCGAAAATTGTGTAATCGTTGCAGGAATAAATGAGTTAAAATCATCTTTCTGTGTTACATTATCTCACTGTTTTAGTATATACTTGCAGCAGGGTAAATATCAACCACTAGCCACCTCCATTTCGGTGAATAGTTGTTAGTTATCAGAGTACATCTAATTTCCATCACCTGGTTTGACAATGCGCAGAATCTCGTCCAGAGCAACGGGTTTCACATGACCGACAGTAAGTGTACCAACACAGATTAGTGCATCGTATTGGTTCGTTGCTATTTCCGCTATTGGTTCGGCGCTCAGTGGAGCACAGATGAACTCTTTATAGATGTTCAACTTCTTTGCTTCGTCCAGCATCTTCTGCGAGATGTCCAAGGCGTCGATATTCGTGTATCCCAGACTCTGAAGGACCTTACCCACAATCCCTGTGCCAGCACCAGCATCGAGAATTCGAAGCTTTGATGGGTCGTTGCAAAGATTTTCACGCACGAATTGGTCGAAGATAGGGGGGCAAGTCTTGTAGGCTATATATCCTGCTTCTCCTGTGACCTGAACACAATAGAATTTATAAATAGACTGCAATCAACACGAAGACGAGATGCGACCGTTTTAACTTGAGCCAGCAGGTCTGTAAGTTCTAAGTGCGACATTCTTTCATGTTGGATTTTTCCCGTGTTCATAGTTAATTATTTAATTCTTTTCAACCGGTAACTAGCCAACGTTGCTACTTATTGCCACCACCTCGTATAATTTATCGATATATACATAACAGCAATATTGCTCTCTTCTGTGGCCGTAACAATTTAAGTGTCTTATAGTCCTCCATCCGTCGTGTTGTTTGTTATTTTTTAAAATCATGTACTGTATAACTTTTGCAATTGTTTGTTGTTTTAGTTTCAACCTACGCCACTTCACCGTTGAGGAGTTAAAGTCAATTGTTTTGTTTCTACACAACATGGCCGCAAATTTCATTTTCGCATAGTACAGTTGCAGGGTCAAAGGCGCGAACTATACGGAGTTGCACAAACACAGCGTTCAAACGTCGGTCATTCGCAAAGGGGGTCAATTCTGGCCGGCCGCGCACCAATTTCCGGCGCAAAATTTCAAAGGAAAACATAATGAACATCCGCTGTCTCGCAAAATAAGCGAAAGAAAATTGACTCGTTTATTTAAACCTGTAAAAGGAAACATGAGGAGGGAAAAGGAAAACTGAAGACTCTTCGAACACAAAGCTTATCCAAGAATGGGTCAGTCCTGTTGATTTACAATTCTGTTTTGAGCATTACATGAAGTTATACGCTTTAAAAAACCGTAACTTTCAAGCTTGCGTGGTCGTTTGTAACTTGTGTAAGGCTACTTGATTCTTACAGCCTGGGAGCACGCTACCTGCTCATTACAACAATTGCGCAGGCGCACACGTTTGACCGCTGTGTTGGTAACAAATCGTGAAAGCGACACAGTACCTTGTCATAAGTCTCTGCCCAATCATCATAAATGGTTTTGACATACTCATCAGTAGATCTGGGATTCAAAGTAAGAAGTCTTTCTGAGTAGAAATGATTTTCTTCTGCCTTGGCCATGATTGAACACTGTTACAGAAAAATCGGGAGAAAAATCGTTAGGAACGAGTACTTTCTTCCATTTTGAAATATTTATCAGGCTGTATGAGCTTATCGATTGTGTTTCGTAAGAGCGAAACCAAAGCAATCGCAACAGCCAATCAGAACAAGAGGAAATATTACGGATAGCCATTGAGATCTCAAAGCTAAAACAAGCACAACTCCCTGAAGCGCGGGAAAGTGCAAGCAACCAAGTCACGAACGGTTTTAATTTTGAATCTGATTGGTTGAAAAAGTGGCGCTAGTGTTATCGACACTCATTTGGAAATTGTTCTTTATCGATCAAATTGTTTTCCAGCATCGCCCTTCAGGTAGCTTTGAACAATAAATAGTGACAAATGAAATTCAGTCCTTTTCTCAAAATAATGACCATGGGATCTTGAACTAAGCGCGGAGCCATTTAGCGATTGCAGGCGTTCTTTCCTAAAAAGATCCGCCCCCAGTTACCACACACATTATGTCTCCACAGTCATGAGAGCACTCAGAGGGAAGAAGGAAGTGGTACCTAACAAAGAGCACCCTTTTGAAGAAACAAAAGAATAAACAGTGAAGATTGTCCATGCCGATAGAACTGAATTGAAGCACAACACTGAGTTAAGGCTATGACTAGCCTCTCCTTCATGGTGAACTCCATATTGGCGCACCGCGTGGCACTCTCATAACTCTGCGCCGCGCACTCACATCAACTTTTTTTTCTGATTTTATTTTCAATTGCGCCGAAAAAGAGGGACCGTTTGTGGTCTTTAGTGAGTTAGAGAAAAAGAAGTCAAGGAACTACAAAAAAAAGGGGTAAAAACGCTGAACAAAGTCAAAGAAGAAATTTTCTCACATTTGGGGTAAATTACTGAAAACTGATTGGCTGAGAAACCTGGCGTTGTTTCAGAAACACTTTTGGTCATCCAGAGGGTGTAATTAATTGACGGGATGAGATATTTTACCATGAACTATTTAGCAAAATAAACTTTGCCCTACATATGTGTACACGAACTACTCCATAAGATGTAAACAATCTGTTCCACATGAAATGGGTGAGGGCCTGTGGACACCGCTTAAAAAAGGAGCTCTGTATCACTGAGGTTTTTTTGTAACAACAATTAATACCACAAAACAAAAACAAAATTAAGACAAAAGATAAATAAAGAAAAACATGGATTACTAGGGAAATTTGTGAGTTAAAATGGAAACAAAGATGCTTATTATCATTACTCCCAGATCCCATTAGTAATTCTCCCAACCGTCTGTTATACCTTGCTTATGATGTTAGTTCTGAGAATTTAGTATTAGATCAACTAATAATAACCTCATTGACATTTTCTTTATTCTCAACACTTGTCTGCTTGAAACTGTACAATGATTTATTTTCTGGTCACTCACAAGAGTTACAGGGTTAACCTTTCACTCCCATGAGTGACCGAGATATAATTTCTCCTCACAATATCAATACAATATCAACCAGATAAGCGATGAGAATAAAGAAAAATATCAATTTGGGGACAATCACTTGATCCAATACTTAATTCTCTGAACTAGCATTATAAGAATTGTATGGTTGGCAGTAAGGAGAATGAAACATTTGACCTGGGAGTTAAAGGGTTAATTGAAAATCAGAAATAAAATAGGAGCCACATGAAAATTGACTTGAATGACGTTATAAGTGGAAATACCACCAGTAATCAAAAAAATCACATGAATTTAAAGGAAAAAAATCCACCTGATTTAAGAACAGAATTTGATAAGTACCGTAATTTCCAGCCGATTACCCACGGGTAATCTGTTAATTTTTCCACAAACAGTTGTTAGTGCGGGTTATAGGAAGGTGCGGTAATACGATCATTTTTAAAGCTTCCGTATAGTTTTAAAACTATTAGCAGGAAAAAACCAGAGATGATAAGATCCACTACAGATACTATTTAAAAAAAATCTGTAATAACTCATTTATTTCGCGGAGATTGCTCGTTACAATAAGAGACTTAAATGCTCTCGATGAAAGCCGATGCAAATCGAAAACATGGAAAACTCGATAACAAAGCTTTTATCTTGTTTGTACTCTTACTTTCTTGCCTTGTCAATTTCACAGCTTGTTTCTTTTTAATTCAAAAAACAATTCTCACTTACACGGGAAGTGAACTTGAAAATAAAAGAATTTAATTGTGAAAAAGCTGGCTTCAGAGCAATTCACACGGAAAATGTGCTAGCATGTTCATTTCGTGGCGCCGCATAATTAATGACGCGACAGAATTTTCGACGCATTAGTGAAATTTCTTAGCTGGCATTGCCTCGAGTTAAAGAGTAATTTTCCGTTTCAAGATATTTCTTCGACTAATAGATCTCGAGATATCACAGGCGGCCCAAGCTCCAGCTGTAAGATGATCATCTTGCGCAATAACAGTCGGAATTATAAGAGTTTGTATGGGCATATTTACGACCGTTCTAAGGAATAAAAAAATGCGTCAAATTCTAAAACAAAAACCTCACCTTACTTCCACAGTGTATCGCTTGTTATCTGACCGCTTACTTTGATGAAAAGAGCCCATTTTAGCGAGTTACTCATTTCGAGGTTTTCAACGTACATAAGAAAAGCCCTTTCCTTATGAACGTTGAAAACCTCGAAATAGACAACTCGCTAAAATGCGTTCTTTTCATCAAAGTAAGCGGTCAGATAACAAGCAATACGCTATGGAAGTAAGGTGAGGTATTTTTTTTTGAGAATTTGACGTATTATTTATTCCTTAAAGCGGTCGTAAATACTCCCATACAAACGCTAATAATTCCGCCATGACTGTTATTGCGCAAGATGATCATCTCGATCATCTCACAGCTGGAGCTTGGGCCGCCTGTGGAGATATCGATTTTTTTTTTTTTTAAGAACAGATTTTTACAAGTGGTATCATTCTCAATGAAACAGCGAAGACAAAAAGTGTGAAAATTTATTAACTGTATGCTAAAGGATACCATGTCAACAAAAACAATGAAGGAACTTTGTGCGAGTCGACGATTTTCTTTTGTTTTTGGGTGCAAGTTATCTGCCAGTGCTGGTAATCTGTTTAAATTTTTTTCTCTTTATTGCTAAAATTGACCAATGCGGGTAATCTGCCGTGTGGGTAAATGGACGGAAATTACGGTACTTTGTTCATGTTGAGCTAAATTTCTTTGAATCAATTAATGTAAAAATCTTGCATAAAAAATATCTCATAGTTCCTTCTGTCTCTTGTTTTATTTTTTTCTAATTCCATTCAAAGAAACTGAAGTAAACAAAGATATTTTAAACAACATAAAGCAAATCAATCATTAATAAATAACAATGAATAATCATACAAATTACTGAGATTATAAAGCAGTGGACTCTCATAAAGCGGCTCTTCTTGTTCACAACTTGAAGGTTGAAACGAAATTTGGAGAGATGTTTGTCTATGAGGGAGAATACCCAAAAGTACAAGAAATTCAAAGACCCTCACAAGAACTCAGCAGACGGAATGCGACATGCACTACAAGATTGAAAGCTGGAGACTCTCACCACTGCACAATCATAATTCCCCAATTAAACTTTTAACCCCTCAGAATAACCGACATCTACTTTCTCCTAAAACATCATTCCTGGATCAAACACTTAAGTCACAAGCATAAAGGGAATTGATCACCTACTAAAGACACTCTTGATGGTCAAACAAATTCTCCTTGATAGCATCTCAGGAGATGTACAAAAAACAGTATGGAGAATCTGCATACAGATGTAAGGGTGTAAAGGGTTAAAGGGAATTGCAAAGTATGACATTATGATTTTATCATTGAGCTAAAGCATAAATCTTTAACATAGAATTAAATTAGCACTTGTTCCTGCATTGTTTTAAGGTGGCACTTAAAACTCATTGACCAATCTGACAGCATTAAAATGCATTTCAACAATTTTTTAGAAGTTTAAACAGGTTTTGCAATTAAGTTGACTGTATCATATTTTTAATGCATCATTAAGGGCAACAAGATAATGTTGCAACACAAAACAACATGACAGTTGCAATGGTCTCCATGCTGATGTCAATCTCCTGTACACTAATTGATGATGGGAAATTTTGCTTTTAAAACAGGTGCAAATTCACATGTATTACTGACAGTGGTCAAAGATTTGCAACAATTTTTTAAAGTGATTCATAAAACCAGATTACTACTGCTGTGAAAAAATAAATAATTGCTTCCTAACAACTTTGAGAGGCAATGAAGTTGTTTCATGTCAGTTACATAATCAACATCTCATTTCTTATCTCACTTCTTATCTCATTTTACTGAAGTAGAAAAGCCTATTAACTTGAATCAGAGGCAAATAAACTCACAATGCTTCATATAACAATCACTAAAGGAAAATTTTGATTTCTGCTTATTCTGGGTATTATTAGTCAACTTAACTATTGCAAAGTTCCCTAAAACTGCCCCAGGTAGATGCCCAGAATCTCACCATTCTGCAACTTTATAATTCCATCGAAAGGTAACTAAATTAATAGATGACTGCTGTACTCTGTACAGTAGTAGCTACATTTTTATGTACATAATTTACAGGCAGCTTCTGATTTCTCTTGTGGTGCATTGCGTTACGTATGCATTACATATTCCTTCTGTAATGCTATCTACTACTGCAAAACTTGCAAATGAATTGTAAAAAAAAGTTTATCTACTCTGTAGAAGGAAAATAAAATTAATGATTTCTGGCATTTTATTGGCCAAAATCTCTGTATGCATATCTGAGTATTTTTACTTGAGCACATCCTGCAAGCTTGTCAAAATTTTATAAAATAATTTTATGTGCCACAGCTCGTAAAAATACACATCAATACTACACACCACAACGTTTAATAAAATACATGTATTGTGGATTTTTACTGTGTTTATTATCAGATAAGGTCAACTAACAAAAGCCAAAGAAATATACATGAACTTTCTCCCTGCCACCTTATAGAACTAAAAGACCTGAAATGATCCTTAGATTTCTTAATTTTCATGTCATAATTACTGATATATAGTTTGTGTTAACAACGCAGGCTCATAATATGTATAAATATATTTTTTTAATTTTTTTATTTATTTTTTTGAAGACACCAAGGGTAAAATTTCCACACAACACCATACTATTGTAAAACACATCTGTTTTCCCAATGGCAATGTATTGTTTTTGTCATTGTTTTCTCTATCCAAGAGCTGAATGCACAATGTAGTATGGGGCTGTTCGGAAATTTTACCGACCCTCGAGTGAAAGATTGTGCAATCTTTGTGAAACCGTTATAAGCATACGACATGAATATGAAAGCGATCTTCTTTTCACTACAAAATAAGGACTGAAAAAAATTCAGTTCTATCCTGTACGGGATTAGAACATAAGACCTCTACGATACCGATGCTGTGCTCTACCAACTGAGCTAAAAATCCAACTAGGAGCTGGTCACAATTTTGGTTCCAAGTAAACCCGTGAAGTGATGAATAAATGAAAATGACTGTGAATATATGAAAATCAGTAAATGTGAACAGCATTACTTGCGGTAATGAACACTAAATGAGCAGTGGTGAAAACATGGCCTGAAATATTTTTTTTCCTGCAAAAATTGCTTTCATATTCATGTCTCTATCCGCAGTTCAAGCATAAATATGATTTTCATGTATTCACAGCCATTTAAGCATACGTCTGCTGTCTACGGTCATCTTATGCATGTACGTAGCGGACACATTTTCTGTTTTTTAAAACCTGCAGGTAAGGAGATTATTACAAAATTATGATCGGTCTAACCTGAAGTGTCTGGAGAAGATTCCACCTCTGGAGGATACAGGCTCTGTTCTAAGAGCTGTTAGTTGTGCAAAAGCGACGAGGTTACGTGTAACATTTAGTCAGCGGGTTCATATGATCACGTTATCTGATCGACATCGTCATGGTAACATTCCTTGCGAAAACTATTTCGGGCTGATCTGCGACTGTTTTTCGATGGTTTTGTTTTAAATTTTTCCATGAGATTTCTTAAGAGATGAAAAAGAGGCTTAAAAATACTGGCTACTGTCACAAGCTTTTTTTCCGGTTGCTTTCCTAATTGTGCGTGACACGAGTAACGCAGCCCACACGGAAAATTGCCTTGTGGGATGGGCTCGAGAAGCCAGGTTGCTCAGCTGACGCTGTTTGCAGTGTTTGGATCGAAGATATCCCTCAGAGCACAAGAGATTCATTTAAACAAGGTATGGCTTATCCAGGCTATGGTGCTCCACCACCAGGTGGATATGGCGGGGTAAGTGAGGAGGGAGTTGATTGTCCCTTTGGAATTCTGAAAAATTTTCAATGATGAGCGAACAGTGAGAAAAAGCCGTTTACAGACGCCATTGTCAATCATTCTGGAATCACACACAATTATTCGAACTGGGAATTAAGCTAATCGTTGGAGCATTTTTGGTGCTTGAAATCACCGTTCAAGAAACCTTTATTTTATGACATGTTTATGCAGAAGTTTTTTCACTAGTGACCTGTGGGTTCATTAGTATGAAGTTGTCGAAAACGTAAGCTTACCCAAGGAGTAATTACGAGGAATCGAAACTACAATTTAACTATAATAGGAAAGTGCAGGTTTAAGTTAAGTTCTTGGAGCGGTTTCTGTTGAACCCCATAACATTTTTAAACGAGGCCTCGGCCTCGAAGGTAATCCGTTGCTTTTGTCATTGTTTTCTCTATCAACGAACTATGTACACAATGAAGTTTGTGGCTCTACGGAAATTGTGCCTCAAAAATTATGGCATATCTTAAAATTATGTATTTGTGTTTTCAAATCATGACATTTTTAAACTGTACCACAATTATCAAATGTGATTCGTTATTAAAACCCTTTTGCGAGCGATTACAGGACAGTACATGTATCATGCTTGTAATCAGATAATGTAACAGCTTTAGACAGCTTTTACACTATAACCTTCTAATGAGAAAATACGTCATTCTCATGAGCTGTCATAAATTTTTTACATTCATACATATAAGACATGAAAAGGTAAGAAAGAAATGTTCAACTTTCGTGACAGCATGGGTGCAAAGTGTAATTTTTTCCACAATGAGGGGTTCATCTTTTAACAGATGTCACAAAAATTTTAGTAAAGGCCCAAGTGATATCTCAAGACAATGAGACTCAGCCAAAAATGTAAGAAATTATTTAGAGAACTCTACATTTTGTAAGTGTCTTGTATATATTTTCCCCAAAAATATACACAGATCATTTTGAAAGGACCCAAGAGCAGTCTAAAAGCCACTCTGACTGGCAGATAATACAAATATATACATACTCTGTTCATTCCAAAAAGGTTTTTAGAATGAAGGTACATTTTGCAATTAGAATTTACATACATACAAATGAAATGTAAAATTTAATGTCAGATAAGAAATTAAATGCTCTCTAAAAAGTGACTTGAGTGAAAGGTCTATAGAATACCAGAGTTTGACAGCTCTAAAATAAAATGTTCTTTTTTCTGTGGGGGTTCTGTACAAGGAGATCTAAGCATCTAGGCATTCCTTATTTGTTTGATTGAGTGTCATCAGTTCCTTTGATGTATTTAGAGAACAAGGACTCTGGCACACACCCAGTCATACATACACATTTAAAGGCCATTATAGCATGCCAATGGTACAATTAAGTGCTGTCTAAAAAAGATGAAATCGATTGGTTCTTTATGCAGGGTTTTAACTCTTTCAAAGTCGGTTTTGGCATGAATGGAAGGTCTAAAGAATACCAGAGTTTGACGGCTCTAAAAGAAAATGTTCTTTTTCTGGTGGGGTTTCTGTGCAGGGAGATCTAAGGCATCTGGGCATTCCTTATTTGTTTGGGAAGTGTTGTCAGCTCTTTGGAGGTATTAATTTTAGAGAACAGGGACTCTGGCACATGCCCAGTCACACATGTACATGTACAGTTAAAGGCCATTATAGCATGTGAGTGTTATAATCAAATCCTTTCTAAAAAGGATGAGATCAATTGGTTCTTTATGCAGCATTTGAACTCTTTCAAAGTGGGTTATGACTTGAGTAGAAGGTCTGAAGAATTCCATAGTTTGACAGGTCTAATATTAAATGTTCCTCTTTCCTGTGGGGTTTCTCTACAGGGAGGTCCAAAGCATCTGGGCATTCCTTATTCGTTCAATAACTGTCATTAGCTCTTTGGATGTGTTTAGAGAACAGGGACTTAGGGACATGCTCAGTCATACATGTACATGAAGGGTATTATAGCATTTTAATGGTATAATTAAATGCTGTCTAAAAAGGATGAAATCAATTGTTTTTTTATGCAGCATTTGAAGTCTTTCAAAGAGGGTTTTGGTTTGAGTGGAAGGTCTAAAGAATACCAGAGTTTGACAGTTCTGAAATAAAATGTCCCTTTTTTCTGTGGGATTTCTGTACAGGGAGATCTAAAGCATCTGGACATTCCTTAGGGTGCGAGACTTGTCATCAGCTCTTTGGATGTATTTAGAGAACAGGGACTCAGGCACACACCCAGTCATACATATAAATTTAAAGGCTGTAATAGCATGTCGATGGTATACATGTAATTGCTGCCCTGATGGTTAGCGACCTTAGATCTTTAAAGATTTGGGAGACATGATTATATTTTCTTATTTTTTCAATTGTGAATAAAAGTAACAGAAGGTGATTATTGCTCAAAATCTTGAATTCTTCTCTTTCCTTTTTGCAGGGTTACCCAGGCTTTCCAGGAGGCTATCCAGGTGCAATGCAGCAGCAAGATCCTTTGTTTGGATATTTTTCAGCCGTCGCTGGGGCAGTAAGTACCCAAATGGACAAATTTAAAGTTAAAGGTTTGACTCTTAGAGCTCAATAACATGTAGCCTCTGCAATATCATTTCAATATCCAGTAATGAAGATGATATGAAAAGATAAACCTACTAGCATTACTCACTCGTGGCACCTGTGTTTGATAGAGCACGTCCCTCTTTTATACTCCTTTAACCCCTAAGATTGACCAGCATCTAATTTCTCCTTGCAGTATCACCCCTGAGTCACACATTAAGGTCCTGAGAAGAAAGGAAATGATCACCTACTAAAAAAGTGCTTGATTGTTAAACAAATTCTCCTTGTCAGCATGTTAGGAAATTTATAGAGAATATTATGGAGAATATGGATACTGAGATTTTAGCTGTACGGGGTTGAAGAAATTTGGAAAAATACTAAATAGAAACAATTTAAACACTTCTCTTTCTTTAAATTTTGATTTGATTTTATTCTGTCTTTCTGAAGGATCAGCAGATTGATGCAAAAGAACTACAAAGCAGTCTAACAAGTTCAGGAATGTCTGGAAGTTATCACCGTAAGTATTTCTCCATGAATTAAGTTTCAGTTCTGCAATGCAGGAAGAGTACTTGGGAGCAGTGACATAATTTTCTGCATTCATTAAACCCTATTCACACTTTGGTATAAAACAATCAAGCAGGAAAGAATATTGATGTACTATTTATCTCTGCTCTCCATCCTTGCTCAGATGACTTGTAAAAAAGGGTAATTACTTTGGTATCATGATAAAACCATTATAAAAAAGTAAAGGAAAAAAGGCAAAGCAAAAAGCAAGTCAAGCAAGTGACATGTGCACACACTCAAATTCAATTATCAGATTATCAATATTACTTTCAATCGCTGACCTGCAAATAGGAATAGCTTGTCCAATATAATAATTTGGATTAAGATCTCTATGAATTAAATTATCTCAGCTAATTGCAGAAACTAAATTGGATTTAGTGTTGGAACAAACTTACGGTTGCATTTTATGTCCTTACCTTGATACATGCATTACCTATCCTCACAATTTTTATTACACTGTCCAGCCATTGGTTGACAAATGAACCAGATATTTAGAAGTCTATTATAAGCTCATTTTAGTTCCCTTTCATTTCCAGCTTTCAGCTTGGAGACTTGCAGGTAAGTACAGTGTACATGAATATTAAACTTCTCAAGTTTTGCAGTTGAACTTCTTGTATTACAGTTGATCCTGTATTAAGCAGCACTGTATTAAATGGTCACCTTATATTAAGCAATTGGTAATCAAAGTCCTGAAATTTCTTTTCTCTAAAGTACTTTAATTTCTACTTCTATTAAGCGGTCATGGTCATCCTCGACTAAGTCACAACAACCCGTTTGTGTTGTCTTCCACCTGTATTGAATGATCACTTAACCCTTTAACTCCCAAGATCTGATTGTTAACTCTCCCCTCCAGCTTTTTCTCAATTCCTGGGAAATTAGTTAGAAGAATTTGGTATTGGATCAAGATAACAACTTCTACCTGATAAGTTTGGGTATTCTCATTTGCCCTTTTGCTGGATAATGTATGGATATAGGGAGAAGTTTCATGTTAATCACTTCTGGGATTTAAAGGGTTAAAGCAGAACCGCTCAAACTTGAATTTAAATAATTCTCAAGTAACATTTATTCCATTTTTATCTCCTGGCATCAGTGTTCTGCAATGCTCTCAATGCATTGCAGATTATCTTTCTTCTTTGGTCAGTTAGGACAAAAAATACCCACAAACATCATGCAAGTCATTTGCAGGTCAACCTGTAAAAGCAGTCAACTTGTATTAACCCTTCACTCCCAAGATCTCATGAGTAATTCTCCTCACTGCCTGCCATGTACCCTTCTCATGATGTTAGTTCAGGGAATTTAGTCTTAGATCAATCAACAATCTCCTAACTGATATTTTCCTTTATCCTTGTCACTAGTCTGCTAAATATTGTATTGATACTGTAAGGAGAAATTCTGTCTTGATCACTCATGGGAGTTAAAGGGTTAAGTGGTAGTGTTAATGGAGTCACAAAAAGAATATACAAAACTTGGTGTAAATTTGTGTATATCATTGTACTTTTGGATTCCTTTAACAAGCCCATGCTATAACTTGCTTTCAAGCAGTTTAATCTATGTACTAATAAACTTATGAAGAGTTCATACTTGATAAGTGATACACTTTGATTTTTTTATTCTTTAGGATTATGATCACCATGTTGGATGTATCCTTAAACGTTGTGATGATTAAAATACTCTAAAACTCATGTAGCAAATAAACCTTTAACCAACTTTGTACCAACATTGTTATATTCTAAGTTTGAGGCTGCAATTAGGCCTCAGGCAAGTTGTAATAATTTTAGAATTTCTGAAGATATTTATGGAGAGACACAGCAGTATAATTGTTGGTTTGCTTGACTGTGAGTCAGAGAGTCATAGTGTGTTGTTGAAATATATTTTGTTCCCCTTCTTTAAGCCCGTATGGCTACCTTAATTGCTGTTGCATTCATTCATTTTTGCACCAATTATTCCTACCTACCAGGATGTGAAATTAATTTTTTTTTCTGATAGCCACTTGGTTCCTAAATTCTTCAAAGTGGTAGCCAATTCAAAAAAAGTTGGTCACCATTTTCAAAGACAAACAAAACCTTTTTTTAGCTGTCAGCATTTCAGATAGACCCTCCAAAATTAAGTTCAGAGAAAGATCTTTTATGTGCTACAAATTGAATTCAAGGATGGATGATATACAACGTTCAAGCTCACTTAAATCCAAGATGGTGTCTAGTCATTGATTTAGATGCATGTGCTGCGTATTGGAAACAAACTTAACAAGGAGGTTTGCAGCAGCTTTATCTTTATAAGGTTATGATGAAGCATTCTAGTCACCAATTTGGCAACTAATTTTCAGGATTTGGTCGCCTAAGTGAAAAATTTAGTCACATTGGTACCTGTATTAGGCGCAATTTTTACGCCCTGCCTACAGTTTGGTTATGAAATAAAAATTTTCTTTGATATACCTTAACTCCTCTGTAGCGTGACTATAGTGGCAAAATGGGTTTCAGTGAATTTAAGGAATTATGCGGTGTGTTGCATCAGTGGAAGGTATGTCAAAGGAGTTCCATCTTAACTGTGAGCATACATGTAGTCTTATTTTTTTAACCCCTTAACTCCCAAGATCTGGTTGTCAATTCTCCCCACTAGCTGCTACACATTTCCTTGTAAATTGGTTACAAGAATTTGCGAGTAAAATCAAAATAGCAACTGATAAGTTTGAGTATTCTCCAAACCTGTTTGCTGGATAATGTATGGATATGATTGGGAGAAGTCACATGTTAATCACCTCTGGGAGTTAAAGAGTTAAAAAAAAAAGTGTAGTGAAGGGAGGGGTGGGGGGGTGGGAAAGGGGTCATTCTTTGAACTGTATATCTTCTAGACATGGGATGTAGGTGTTAGCTGTTCACCAATATCATTATATGTATGTGACCTCCATGGGCAGAAATGGGAAAAGGTGACTGCCTAGGCATATGGAACTGACACCTTGAACCAGTACACAAAAGGTAGTGAAAAATGTAGCTAGTGGCTCCTCTAGTAGGTAACATGAAGAAACTTAAGCTACCAGAGAAACTTGTCCACATGTTTCTGCATGCCTGCCAATGCACCGATACATTGATGTAACAAAGACTCAGCTATTTGGAGCCATATTTTAATTTGGTCCCAGTATGGCATTTAATATGTTTGGTCCCCAAGTATAAGCAGAACAGATCCCTAAGTACTTCACTGACTTGGGCACAGCTGTGCTACACAGTGGTGCCTAACCCTTTTCACCCCAACATCAGTATGCATATTCTCCATACTGTTCTCTATAAATTTCCTAAGGTGCTGACAAGGAGAATTTGTAAAAAAATCAAGAGTTTCTTAAGTTGGTGATTATTTGCTTTATTCCTGTGACCTGGATGTTTGATTCAGGGGTGATTTGTTAAGGAGAAATTAGATTCTAATCACTCTCAGGGGTTAAAGGTACAATGAAGTTTTCTTTGTCTTATACACAGAATTTAGTCCCATGTGGATACAAACTGGTCCCCAAACCCCCTGTTTGTGATAAGTAACACCAGTGCTTCCTTTTCATTGCTCTCCACTTGTTCATAACATGTAAATATATTTTGGTTCTATTTCAAAAGGGCACCCTCCTCTCAGTGCAATTTTCTGCCCTTGTTTCCTGATAACTGGATAATTCACCAATATTTTGAAGGGAAGTTAAAGGGACTAAAAAGGGTACATAAAGATTGATTTGTTGTTTTGAACTTATATTTTATTTGGGGTGACTTGGAGATGTACTGTCCAATTTTTTAATTTTTTAAACTGAATTGAATTCAACAAATGCCCCAAATTAATTCTTTTTATGCTGTGCAACAGACGACCTTTATGCAGCATGACAGAGACAGGTCAGGAACAGTTGAACCCCACGAGCTGCATGCTGCACTCACCTCTTTTGGTAACTTCGTTAGCTTTTTATTAATTTTTGTTGTTGTTGTTTTTGTTGCTGTTGTTGTTGTTGTTTTTGGATTTTTTTTTTCGATATCACATCTAGAACTTATAATTAGACTGTATCAGCTGCTTTAAACCAAACCTCTCAAAGGGAAAGTGTCAAATGTCAATTAATCACTGACATTAGTTTGATTTAGTAGTGGGGAGTCATCTAACTCCGCCCTAATCCACCCCTGCCAGCCTTCTTTCTTGTAACCCTTCGTGTTGATTTGTCTTGATAAAAAATTCCGTTTCCTTCTAAATTCGTAGGTTATCGGTTAAGTCCTAATGCGCTGAACATCATCGTCAAGCGGTATTCAACCAACAATCGAATTACCTTTGACGACTTTGTTGCTTGCTGCGTGAGGTTGAGGGCTCTGACAGGTACAGTACTCAGACAAACGAATTTCTCTGTTTGTTCGCACAGGTTACTAACAAGTTTTAGACTTAATATTCTCCTCCGTTTGACCACAGCTGGTGTTCATGCGTTACAGTGGTTTCATTTTGAAAGAAACTTTAAAATATTTCCCTTAAAATGATGATCAGATCTTGCTTCCAGTTTTGCGCGAAAGTGTGTCGTATAATTTATGGCTTTTTATAGACTAGTTAGCCGGCAGAACAGGTATATATATATATATATATATATATATATATATATATATATATATATATATATATATATATATATATATATATATATATATATATATATATATATATATATATATATATTTGCATTTTCAGGCAACGGGTTGGGCGCAACTTCATTCACGCTCCTCCCCTCGCGCATGACTTGCGCTTAGCTCCCGCCTCGCGCTTGCCTCCGTTTGCTAGAAAAACGGAAAATAATTAACCCTTATTCTACTGGCTAGAGACTTCTTGTTTTGTGGAAGCCGAAGCAATGTCCTGCCTCGAATGCAATTGCCCGTACTAATTTTTTCCTAGTTTTATCCTCCATTTTCTCCATGGGCCCTTTTCTTCGTTAATCTTGAACGCTCCAAGAAGCCTCCTGGAGTGAGGGGTGGCCTCATTTGTTATTTCTACGACCAGCGGGTTGTAGAAATTACTTAGAAGTGTTTGACTTTTCAAGATTGGAAATCAGTTGTTTCTTTGTTCATTTTTGTTCTGCAGATCAATTTAGAAGGCGCGATACAGCTCAGAACGGGATGGCAACTTTTCAATACGATGACGTGAGTCGCTCTTTTGTTTTGAAACGCTAACCCTCAAACTCCCAAAAGTGATCGACAGATAACTTCTCCCTATCATATCCATAACTATTTCCCTCGGAATGTACCACATTTTCCTGACCAATGATAAAAATTACAATTTCCTCGATCATGATTGGTGTAAGGAAACTTTTCCGCTAATTCACTCGCCGAGTTGTTATGGGACAGTTTGTTAACGGACAATGCAATAAGCCAATCACATTGAAAGTTGTAGTTTAAATCAACCAATCACATTCAAAGTTGTAGTCTAAATCAACCAATCACAACCTTAGTTTAAATCACCATTCAAACTGTATAGTCTCTTCCCTTTCTTTCACAACTTGGTTATTCTTCTTTTCTGTGAAATTGTAATTTTTATGATTAATTGGCAGGCTCTGTCATCCTAACCAGTCCATTTTTTTTGGTTTTTGAGATGATTTTTATTGTATAATTTTTAAAACTTTAGAAACCCCCATCTTGAATGAAACCGGAACAGCTTCACGGGTCCCTTTTTGTTACCGGGACCTTCGAGAAATGGGCCCCTGGTTGGGTCATTGTGTTGTGTTCTTGGGCAAAACACTTTACTCTCATTGTCTCTCCACCCAAGAGTATAAATAGGTACCAGTGAATTGTCAGGGAAGCCTGATCAAATGCTAAGGGGTAACCTTGCGATGGAGTAATAACCTAT